AGTTTTCTTCAAATAATACAGACTGGCAGCAGCTAAACAAGTTCAATCAGGATCAAATGTAAATCCTTTGAAATAATAACGATCATCATCATATCCACTCCTACTAGCTCAATATTTTTTCTGGTTTTCCTTTCTTTCTGAATAAAAATAGCTATGCTGTAGTAGTGCAGAAAAAAAAGAATGTATTACGTTCCCCTTTTCAGTGATCATGGACCTGCTTACAGGAAACTTCCATTCATTTAAAGAAGAGGCTAAACAAGTGGAAATTTGGTTAAACTTGTGGACTTGAGAAAACACCACAGTGTTTTCTGTTTATTAGAAAGCTAGATAAAACATCTTTGTCCTGCTTTTAACTACAATGCAAAGAGAACCTAGATGAAGAAAGTCTGAACCTGCCTCTTAAATTTTCAGGCATATAGGCAAAATCCATTCTGGGTGTTAAAAGCTTGGCTCTACATGGGCAGGAAAAGTCACAAGCCCCAGTTCACTAGAAATTGTGACTACAACCCTCCTGCACACATTTTCTCAATACTCCAAGTGCAATGGGAAAATTCATAATATCTGGAGCTAAGCGGGTACTGTGGCATCAGTGAAATGGAAGAAAGTCCCTGACTGCCCTGATGAATACTCTTTTTTTAAAGCAGACTTGATTTGCCTGAAATTATACTCAGGTTTTTGTGTACAATGTTTTCCTGTAAGGTTTTTGTGCAAATCCCAACTTCATTGTTTCAATGAAGGTTTTTTTCCTGCACTTTTTTTTACAACACAGGCAATAAAGTCTAAATTTATTGATGGGCCTGGAACAGTTGAATTCCCTTTTCACAATGAAGACTCAGAGTAATTTCTTAGCTAAAAGATTGTCCTTTTGTCCATACAATCATTGCTGCCAAGTGTCAGGTCAGGTCTGTTGACGTGAGACAATGGAGATGGAAGGAGTGCACACAAGACACTCTGCAAAGCTGAGAGAAAAGGAACTCAAACAAGAGAAAATAGTATCTGCTGCTTCTGAAATTCAAGGCTGATGCTTTCTGTCTTAGAATTAAATAATAAACCCCTCCCAACCCAACAAAATGCACGTTTTAGATATCAAAATGAAGCAGATTTAGTGTGATTTCATATAGAATTGTTGGGTGCTAGCATTTGCACCTCACTTTCTATAACCAGGTAAATTAACTAAAGTAATACAGCTGAACTAGTAGCAAAAAAAAAAAGAAAAAAGTTCAATAACGTCAACACAATCTTATAATCATTAAATTATAAGAAAGAGTCAGCTGAATGTTCAGCAAAATGCTGTTAATACTAGGTTTAGAATGCATAGCAAATAATGGTTTGTGCCAATATTACCTATGTAAACCTAGTCAATCAGTTAATTACTGAGTATGCAGAAGATTCCATAACTTATCCTTCTCTTCACATACTGATAGACTTATGTCTTTCAGTGAGCAGTCTGCCTTATCACTACATACACTGCAGGCATTTTGAATAGCTGGCTGATTGCCGAGCAAACAGCCCATTTGAAAAACTGCAGATGACTCGAACAGAGCAGAAAATTGCAAGTCTCGTGGAAGAAAAAACGGCATAAGGAGCTTCCTACCTTAGCTAAAATAATTCAGAATACACTCCAAATCCATTTGTAAAATACAACAAAGTTTTAGAATGTAAAATTTAGAAAAAAATACTTATAAAAATGTTTGGGACAGCCTGATCATTGCCCAGTGCTACCAAGTCAGCACAGAAGAATGTTGTGTCTGAAGAGATTGAACATGGCCACTCAGCTCCTGTAAATTCACACCTTAAAATATGATACTGAAGTAATCATGCTTGATAGATGTTTTATGCAAAAGAAGCTTGATGTTTGAGTGCTAAGGGGCAACAAGAAGTATGCAACAGCTTTTAAGAACATTTTTTTTTTTTATCTAAAAAGAAATTATTCTGCATTTTATTAGTTAAGGCTTAAGAACCAAAATGCTCCATAGTTTTCGTTTAGGTTCTAGCTAAACTAAACCTCTAATCTATAGCTGTTTCACATATGTGTCTATGTTTCACCTTCATCAGCAATATATTTGAGTAGTTTCCATAAAATGTATGTAAGCCAAAATATTCAATATGTTGTAGGGATGCAGTATTCCAGCGTCTCTTGGAGACATTAATCTTTGCTTACCCATATTTTACCACCCAAATGAAAAAAAGTCTTCTTTCCCCACTCAACTCTTTCCACTATCCAATGTACATCTCACGTACTTTCCTTGCACTAAATAAAAACTTTCTGCATTTGCTATCCCAATGTACTGAATCCAAATCCCTCTCCCAAGCAAAACATCGCAACCTATACAACCTACCGTGTTTTCTTACTTACATTCTTTTAAACATCCAGGTACTTAAGACAGAAATTTTCTGCATTGCAAACTACTTTCCTCTCAAAGGAAATACTAACACAGATCCTAATACAGATCTCACTACTCAAATTCAGATTTCTAGGAGTTTCATATCAATGAATTTCCTAGCTGATAGACAAATAAAAGAGAAATTACTTCAAATGATAACAGAAGCAGCAGTGAGCATAAGGGTATCACAGGCAAGAAATAAACTTAGTTTCTGACAGTGTCATCATATAAACCTAATTTCCATAGGAAACTAAGCTAAAAATAAGTCACCAACCTTAGTCATTTTATTAGATGTAATGTCTTTCTGAAGCATCGTTATAATTCAGTCTACCCATGAAACATGAAAGGTGTTTAGAAACTCCTGAGTAAAATGGTGCATATCCTAACCAGGTAATATTCAGTGAAACAGTAGAGAGGAAGAATATAGTAAGACATATTAATACCAGAAAAGACACAGAGAATAACCTTAAGTTTAAACAGAGAAACTAATAACTGCTATTTTAAAAGACAATAAATAAGATTTGAACTACAAGGGAAGGGATAAAGGTCTGAGGATATTGTGGAAACCAAAAATATTGAAAGTGAAGCTCACACAACCTGTTCTTAGCTAGAGCATTTTTGAGGCAACCTGAGGCCGAGGATGTCCCTAGAACACAGATTGCCAGAAACTATACATTCTTATTGTCTTAGACTCTTACTTACTTGATCATTTATGGGCAAAAGACAGGAACCCGAAATGGGACAAAATGCAGAATAACAATCTCAGCAGACCTCCATGATTGATTCCAACATCAGAGTGAGTGCTGAGTGATGTGGTTGACATGCTGGAGGGAAGGGATGCCATCCAGAGGGACCTAGACAGGCTTGAGAGGTGGGTCCGTGCGAACCTCATAAAGTTCAACAAGGCCGAGTGCAAGGTCCTGCACTGGGGTAGGGGCAATCTCCAGTATCAATACAGGCTGGGGGATGAAGGGATTGAGAGCAGTCCTGCCAAGAAGGACTTGGGGGTATTAGTGGATGAAAAACTGAATATGACCCAGCAATGTGTGCTCACAGCTCAGAAAGCCAGTCACACCCTGGGCTGCATCAAAAGAAGTGTAATCAACAGGTCAAGGGAGGTGATTCTGCCCCTCTACTCTGCTCCTGTGAGACCCCACCTGGAGTACTGCATTCAGCTTTGTGGTCCCCAGCATAAGAAAAACATGGACCTGCTTAAGCAGGTCCAGAGGAGAGACACAAAGATGATGAGGGGGCTGGAGCACCTCCCATGTGAGGACAGGCTGAAAGAATTGGGGTTGTTCAGCCTGGAGAAGAGAAGACTCCAGGGACACCTTATAGAAGCCTTCCAGTACCTGAAAGGGGGCCTACAAGAAAGCCGGAGAGGGACTTTTTACAAAAGCATATAGTGATAGGATGAGGGGTAATGGCTTTAAACTGACAAGAGGGTGGATGTACATTAGATGTAAGGAAAAAGTTCTTTACTGTGAGGGTGGTGAGACACTGGAACAGGTTTCCCAGAGAAGCTGTGGATGCCCCATCCCTGGAAGTGTTCAAGGCCAGGTTGGATGGGGCTTTGAGCCACCTGGTCTAGTGGAAGTTGTCCCTGCCCATGGCAGGGGGTTTGGAACTAGATGATCTTTAAGATCTCTTCCAATGCAAACCATTCTATGATTCTGTGATTCTATAATCTACGAACAACAAGAAGCATTATTAAGGATACAATAAATTTTTGAAAGATCATCCATCCTCTCAAATCCTCTATTATTTCTGCTTTAATTTGTCCATAACATAATGGAGATCACTTCTTTGACATGCCTCTGCATTACATTTCCAGCAAGGTACAATGCAGAAGCACTCTAACCTTTTTACAAAACTTTAACACATTGAAAAAAAAAAGATATTCCTTCAGTTGCTAACTATAAAAATAATACGACATTTTAAATTAAAGAAATTGCAATGTGGGATTTCAGTGAGAGGCAGCATAACAGTCTTATGACAGTCGGTAAGTGGGAATACACAGGACACTCCTATCCACTTATCTCCTATACACTAAAAATAACCTGGATGCTGTCTATTTTATTCCAGAAAAGGTAGGTGTAATAAACTTTTCCTTATCCCTATGTGTTTCACTCATGTAGCCAGCAAAATGGAAACATGATAATTCGAAATACAGATTATGAGTCAAATTCAGTCACACAACTAGAATTTGGTGGATTTACTATATCTTTTTAAGAGCAAGATTATATTACTTTGACTTTTAGGGCTTTATGTGTACAAAAATTATGGTACCATAGCTCTTTAGGCTACTGCTACCGGAATACATCCTCACATTATCTGTGAACTAATTGCAAGTTTGCAACTTGTCAAAATGGAAATAAACCAAGCAACAATGCATGGGCTGATAATATAGGCAGAAAGGTGAAGAGACTGGATCAAGGGGAGGGAAGAAATAAAAAATGACTAAAAACAATTTGAAAAATGAAGGTGACCCTATTCCAATAACATTTTTAGTAGCAGAAAAGCATCAGAAAGGTGGAGATAAAAAAAACATAAAGTTAATTCAAAATCATACACTCTCTAAGAGTGAATAGCCTTTACCATTGCATTGCATTGCAGCCCTGGCCCTGGCTCCAAGAGAGAGACTAAGCATGGAGGAAGCAAGAATGGAAAGAAAGAAGGCCTCTCTGGAAGCTCGTTTTTCACCTGGTTTATGGTAATTGCTTTGCTGGGAGTTTGGACGTCAGTAGCAGTTGGCTGGTTTGAACTTGCAGATTATGAAGAAGTTCTAGGCAAGCTTGGGATATATGATGCTGATGGACATGGAGATTTTGATGTAGAAGATGCTAAAGTATTGCTAGGCCTTAAAGAAATATCTGTCCCAGCACAGCCAACATCACCAGAATCTGAGAAGACCATCCAGCCTGCTGAGAAGTCATATGTTGAATCAGAGCACAAGAATGCTGATGTAGAATTGGAAGAGGAAATTCAGTCTGTTCTTCAGGAAGCTCTCCATTCCCAGCCTGGAGGGAGACATGAAGATGTAGATGAAAGTGTAAATGACCAGTGGCAAGTGAAGGAAGAAATACATGGAGAAACTTTTGAAGCTCCTACAACAGATGACTTGCTCAGAGAATTAGAGAATGAAATGCCAGAAGCATATGAGACACCAGACTCCGTTCAGAAAGATGCTGATCTTTTGGCAGATGATTTTTGAGCAATGGAGCCTGAACCATATGAAGCTCCAGTTTCATATGAACACGATATGGATGTGGAAAAGACAGTAAGTGATCCAGAAGCTCCAGGTGACTCTGACCTAATGCTAGAAGATGCTATGGAACATTACACAGAGGATAGAGTGCATGGTGATTATAATGAAGACCATGAACCAAAACATGAAAAGAAGACTGAGACTCAAGATACAGCTGTGGAGGACCTTCTGGAGGAAGTGAATGAAGCCACAGAGCCAGAAAGTAAGCATACAGAAGATGTTGTGGCCACTGAACCAGAGGAATCAGAAATGCCTGTTCAAGGTGAGGATTATTCAAACGATGATCTAGTGGATACTTAAAGCTTCAAAAGAAAAGTCCCTACATCAGGAGGACCAGCCCTAACCACACACTACAAAAGGGGAGCAGATGGTTGTAATAGTTCTTATGATGTAATTACCAAGCAGTTCAGGGTTTGGGGAACGAACACTAAGATATTGTATATGGGTTGTAGCCAACTGTCATTTTAGTGTGCACTTAAGACTGGAACTCCTCAATTCCAGAAAAGCAGCATAGGAAATCTAACAACTGAATTTAATCTTTCTGGACAGGAAATGGGCCACCTTACTTATTTTAAAAGTAGTTAATTCTTTTCCCATAGTAAAAAGAGTTGGCATCTGACCATATGAGTTTACATATTATGTCTTCGGTTGAGCACTCATTACATTCTCCTGATTTAGACTAATGACACATCTAGTCTGGATTTAAATTAATGCTTAAGGAGTGTATAAAGCACTTCAGTTTTAAACATCTAAATAAATATTACTAAACCAACACATCAAGAAACACAGGTCAAGCTATTTGTGAAGGAATAGGGTAGACTGACACTCCAGAATCTCCATGGACTTAATTTCTTCTTTCAGATCTCAGCTGAGAATCTGTCATCTTCTTTGAATACTCAATAGAACTCAAAAGTAAAAGACATCTGCAGTCCTCAGAAAATAGATCACCTAAATCCCTTGGAGATTTTCTGGTTTCCAAACTGCATGCACTGAATAATTTTTGAGACCTAACCTTGGCGCTACTGGAATAAATGTAAGAATTTCAAATGATTATAGCTGTTGTAGTAGGACTGAATGCTTAAATTTTAGAATTCTTCAGTGCTATGTATTATTATGTGTTCTGATACACTAATTACTTTTTCATCTATTTACAGCTTTTTGAAATAAAGCATGTATTTTTAAGACTTTCTGAGGCCAAACAAAAAAAGTAATTGAAAACTTGTTATGTTCTTCAGTTTTACAGGGGGGTAAAAAAGTCAGTCTAGAGAAATCAGAGGTCAGTTTTATAAATCGTGATGTATCTCAAAAAAAGTATTAAACATGCTATTGATTTATTCATATTTTTGTCCTGGAGCCAATGAACACAGCAGCAAAACTCATATTACCTTGTACCATGAAGCAAGTATCAAGTACTGTGTTTCAATCTTCCTCCATTTAGTACTTAAGCAGAGTAAGCATATTACTAAGTCAGTTCCAGACAACCAATATCTAATATGAAGCACATTTGTCTAGCACTCTCATAAAATGCCTAAATGGGAATAAATCAATTTATGCAGTCACAATGCTTTTAATTTTGCTTATAAAAGCAAATAGAAAAATGTATCCTGATACATGCATAGTCATTTGTTTTCTTAGTCAAACTGTACAGCAATTCCTATGCAAATCTTTATCATTTTCCAAAACTGTATCACATACAATTTTTGAAGTCACTACTGCAGAAGATCAGAAAGTGAGTAGGAATCAGGATCCACTCGCATTAGATCTTGTTGACACTGTACAAAGAAGATTCCCATTCTGAGGGGCATACCCCCTGAACTAAAAGAAGATGAGCTAAATTTGTGCAAAGAAATTAAACACGATGAAATTAAACAATTTTTCCAGGACTGTATGTTGATATATGGCAGAGAATCCTGGTCTAAAAGTCCATCATAGTTCACCATTCTACTGTTAATTCCCTTGCTATCCTCTTTATTTTGTTAATTCAAGACATCAACTTGCTTATGCTTAAAGCTTTAAAAAGTCACACAACACAGCCTTCCAGAGATCTAGATAAAGGCATTCTGATTTCCAGCTGAAGAACTCCAGGTTCTTGGCAAGAGTTTTTATAGGGCTGCAAATTGTTTGACTTCGGCCACTGGTTTATCCTTTCCTTTTCTATAGTTAGTGTTACCTTATTTTAAAATCATACATCTTACTCTTTCACCCCACCATAAAAGTAAAGCCATCAAGACATATTCAGTTGTCAGAAGGAAAGGGGAAAAGGCAGCCATATGTACTAACGGAAATCAGAAAAGCGTGTGATTAATTTTAGAGTTTACACCACAATATTATCAGTTTGATACCATTAGCAGTCACAATGTCTGCCTCCAGAAGAAAGTATCTGTATCACTGGCTCCTGTAAACTTTGTATTTCTGTCCTTTCTACAGCCTTAGTTTGGGTTATACATAAGCTTGAGATAACCAAAACAGTGATAGCTAGCAGCACAGCCTACTGCTGTTACTTGTTTCATAGACAGAAGATTCTGAGGAATAACAGAAATTATTTAAGTGACACCTTTCTTTATTGGTTCAAAGGTTATCATCTTGAAGATGGAAGAAAGACAAAGGTCAGTCATATGGGAGCTGTTTGCATTGCATAACAAACAGAAAAAGAATGTGCAGTACAATGCACTCTTCACCCATTTATGTTCTACAGAGAGGTGGTATTGCTGGAAGTGTATCTAAATAAGAAGATTTATAAATGGAAAAAGGAAATTATTGGTGTGAGGACAAACACTGTGGAAAATATGATGGTAAAACCAACAATTTCAATAGAAAGGCACAGCACCTGAAAGAACATAAGGAGTAGGAGTAACGAACAAATGTCTGAGAAACTGCTGATCTTCCTGGTATCCAGTGACAGGACATGTGGGAATGGTCCAAAGCTGTGTCAGGGAAGGTTCAGACTTGACATTAGGAAGCATTTCTTTACCAAGAGCATGGTCAAACACTGGAACAGGCTTCCTAAAGAGTCGATTGATGCCTGTCCTGGTTTTGGCTGGGATGGAGTTAATTTTCTTCCTACTAGCTGGTATAGTGCTATGTTTTTGGTTCAGTATGAGAAGAATGTTGGTAACACTGATGTTTTAGATGTTGTTAAGTAGTGTTTAGACTAAGTCAAGGAATTTTCAGCTTCTTATGCCCAGCTAGCAAGAAGGGTGGAGGGGCACAAGAAGTTGGGAGGGGACACAGTCAGGGCAGCTGACCCAAAGTGGCCAATGGGGTATTCCATACCATGGGATGTCAAGACCAGTATATAAACTGGGGAGACTTGGCCAGGATTGAAATAAAATTCTGCATTGAAATAAAATCCAGATCTTATTAGGGAGGTACGAATGAACAATTTACAATGTGATAACCAATATATTGATCTGGAGTATGGGCTCAAGTCAAGAGACTTCATACCCCTTAATTTACAGAGAAAGATTTAATTTTAGTGGTGGGGTAAGGGATTGCACTAGGTGTTCATGGAACATCTGCATTATGATTAAGTGAAGCTACCAGCATTTTGCTCATGTCTTCTACTCCAGCTGCAGTTCCACAAGTTTCAAGTGTAACTTCTGGCTCTCAGGGTATCAATCCGTGTACTGCTTGGTGGATCCTGCACTGAACCATTTATGAATGAAAATTTAGTTTAAAAAAATCATTCACTTTCCACTTCTCAGCACCAAAAAAACTGAGATAGGCTGAGGAACCTGAAAATTGTCTTTTTATGTGTTGAATCTGTTATATCTCAATTCCTCATAGAATTAAAAAAACTGCCACTGCCTCTATAAAGTCCAAATCTTCAAGCTTGCCAAGAAATTCTGCACTTTTTCCTAGTCTAGCTGGTTTTGCACAGAAAAATTTGAAGGCTTCCATGCAATGTGTCAGCTTTCTAAACTGGCTTTGGAATATCAAATGCTAGGAAATATTTTTCTTAATGTTTAACCATATACTGTCTTCAAAGAAAAATTTGAAACTTTCTTTTAAAAATTTAAAAGAAACCTTTTTTTTTCATAAACAGAGAAAGATTCTAAAGAAGGGTTGGAAACATTTCCACTAGTACGTCCTAATAAAGAAACTACGGATAAAGTTTGTTCACAAAGTATAAATGGCAGATCCATACTTTGGTATTGCCAGGAATACAGTCATGACACATCCATTAAGCAGTATTAACCATGTCTTTCTGGATTCTTAAAGTTAAATTAAAATGTATTTACCTTCCCCTGTATTTCCTACAAATTTTTCCTATAGGTATTAAAAATGAGCAGAATTGCCTTTACGCTACATTCAGAAATGCTTTATTTTTGTCATGTATGGTTGCTACTTTATTTAATTTCTTTTTGTGGCACGTTATTCAGTACAGATTTTCATCATGTTAGGAACTGTCCATGCTGGTGAAGACTAAAACACACACCTCACCAATTACTTAACCTGCAGTGTTTTGAGTCCCTGGTGTTCTCTATTACAATGACAGTCTCCTAATCTATTTAAATCACTGGTGCAATTTGTACTCTACAGAAAATGGAGAACGTGAAATTCTGATTCATCTAAATCACTGAAAAGATAGAACACATTATAACATGATCTCAAATGTCTTCATATAACTGACACAAATGCTTACTGAAATGTTTGCTATTTCCTTGCATAAGAGAGAAAATATGAAAAAGTAGCATTATAAAAATCTTTCAACATTTTATGCAAATATGAACACTTCAATACAGAAGCAATTATAAGGTAAATTGGATAGATGACTTCTACTTTTGATAATTCAGGATTTCTTATTAAACTAAATGCAACAGGCATGAGAGGAATACTAATTTTCCATATTTGAAAGCTGATGTCCTGAGAAAACTCAGATTTGATCTGGAAGGGAAAATCTTCATATTCCTAATTTCTTATGGGTACTATAGGGGAAAAGATTA